TCTGTTGCCAACAGGGCAAGCGGAGGTGTCGCTACTTTCATTAATAATTCTCTTGAAAGCGAAAACATCCCCATTATCTCTGATCTTGAAGTAGTTGCTACACTTGTTAAATTCCAAAAACACTTATGTATATGCAATATTTATATTCCTGACASTAAAAAATTCACAAAACAAAATCTCATAGATATCATACGGCAACTCCCCAAACCCTTCTTACTTTTAGGCGATTTTAACAGCCRAAATATTTCCTGGGGATGCTCCCACACCGACGACCGTGGAAAAGTGGTCGAAGAGTTGCWCGACGACGAGAACCTCTTTCTCCTTAACAATAATGAGCCGACCAGACACAACATTGCCAACGGAACCTTCTCTGCAATCGACCTTTCTATCACAAACTTAAATTCTGCATCACTATTCGAGTGGCAAGTACTAACATCGTATAACAGCAGCGACCACTGGCCAATCGGAATCCAATTCTTGGACCATTCTCCCCCCTCTCAATTAAGTACCCATTGGTCCAGAACCCCAACTGGGAACTCTACTCTGATTTAATTGAGCATGACCTAAGCAACARTCCAATAGATTTCAATTGTTGTGATAATCAGGTTGAAATTGACTCAATAGTTAAACTTTTCACGGACATCATCATAGAAGCAGCCAATAAATCAATCGGACTAAAAACCAACCCTTYTTCTAGAAAGAAAAATGTTCCTTGGTGGAACAAAGATTGTCATGAGGCCATACTAAATTACAAAAAGAAACTTAACCGCTATAAAAAAACCAAATCATGCCAAGACCATATACTCTTGAAAAATGCAAGAGCCAGATCTCGCTTTATTACCAAGAATAGCAAAACTCTTTCATGGCAAGAGTTCACCTCCTCCATAAATCAAAAAACATCACCAAAAATAATATGGAACAAAATCAACTCCTTAAAAGGAAACAAGTTCAAAACAATTCCTGACATATTATACTACAACCAAGATAAAATTATCTCTACTCCCAATGCCTCTGAATCGTTTGCAYGTTTCTTTCAAAACAACAACAGCGACGAAAACTACGACCTCGACTTCATTTCATACAGAAACGCCAACAATAAGGTTCCAGAACTTAGTAAAACAAATGCACACTACAACCTTTGCTTCGATATGTCAGAACTTACCTCAACATTACAATCTTGCACCAGCAAGAGCCCTGGGCCTGACAATATACCATACATTTTCCTCAAAAACCTACCTGTAATAGGAAYTCAAACACTTCTTCATATATACAAMACCATATGGACAAAAGGTTTCTTTCCTAATCAATGGCGTAACGCTAATGTAATAYYCATYCCTAAACCGGGCAAAACCAAATTTGAAATTGAAAATTACAGACCAATATCGCTGATTAGCACTTTAAGCAAACTTCTTGCAAAATGATAAATAAACGTTTAATTTGGGTCCTAGAATCAGAAAACCACCTCGCCAAAGAGCAATGTGGCTTTAGACGTAACCACTCGACGCGCTATCCTTAATACACACAGACATCTGCTCCTCCTTTAGGAGCAACCAGCACCTTATTACAATAGCCCTTGACATAAAAAAAGCATATTATACTGTATGGAAAAACAGAGTACTATCAATACTTCACAGCTGGGACATCAATGGAAACCTCCTAGAATTTATAAAAAAWTTTCTAGCCAATCGTAAGTTTTGTGTAAAAATCAATAACCACCTATCTTCCTCTCATGATATTGTTAATGGACTTCCTCAAGGATCTGCGCTTAGCGTGACTCTTTTCTTAGTCGCCATAAATGACATTTGTAAGAGTCTCCCTAAACCCGTGAAATACATTCTTTTCGCCGACKATTGCAATATTTACTGCAGTGGGTCTCATATCGAAACAACCTCTCTGAAACTGTCACTGAACGCCCTCACCAAATGGTCAACAGAATCTGGTTTCTCGTTTTCTCCCTCTAAAACGCAATGTATCATCTTCAATAAAAGGAGAAAAGACCCTCTACCTCTTATCACTTTCATGAATACCTCTCTGACATTTACCAGCAATATTCGAATTCTGGGTCTCACGTTTGACGACAAACTAAGCTGGCRCCCTCACTTGAAAAAACTCAAAGCAGACTGTTTATCAAGAATGAAAATTATAAAAACACTCGGAAACAATACACGGGGATCTGAGACAAAAAGTCTTCTCAGAATCTACAAGTCTCTCATTCTCTCGGTAATCGACTATGGTGCTATAATCTACAATTCCGCAAAAAGTAATGCTCTCAACACCATTAATCCTATACACAATCAAGGTATACGTCTGGCAACTGGTGCTTTTAGGACTAGTCCGGTAGATAGTATCTTGTTTAATGCTGGTTAACTGCCTCTTGAACTTAGACGTCATACTCAGATATACTTAAATTCATTTCAAGAATCAAAAGTATGCCCAATCATATAGCCAGTAAGATACTCCATAATCCTCTCCCCTACAACTCACCCAACAACAGGAAAACAATTTTTGAATATTTCAAAATTATCAGTGAAAATCTCGGCCTTCAAACTCAAACATTGAGCAAAGTACAACGTCCCTCGCCCCCTTGGCTGTGGTCTACGAATATCAACACTCAACTCACCAACTACTGCAAATACTCCACTGACAGCACTATCATCCGCAATCTCTTCTCGTAAATATGTCTCAACAATACTCCAGCAGTACACACATATACACTGATGCATCCAAAAATTCTAATGGAGTGGGCTTTGCAACAATCATAGGTCATGAAAATCATAAATTCTCACTTCCTCCTAGCACCAATATCTACACAGAAGAAACTTATGCCATCTTTGAAGCACTAAAAATCGCCTCCTCCTCAAGTTCAGATTCTTTCACCATCATAGGCGACTCTTTGAGTGCTTTAATATCTATCTCAAATCCATACTMCAAGAATGAACTAGTACAACACATCCAAAAACTGATATCTATCTCTAACAAAACTTTCTTTTTCATGTGGGTCCCCTCTCACGTCGGCATTTCTGGCAATGAAAGAGCAGATAAATTCGCAAATGAAGCCACACTTCCTCATAATGCCTTAAAAATAAACCTAACTACATCCTCAGAGTTGCTCGACATTATTAACACCAAAATCTCTGACACATGGCAAACAAAATAGACCAGCGTTTCTCTCTCAAATAAACTGAGAAATATCAAGCCTTCCATAAAAAAATGGACTGTGAATGTAACCTCAAAATAAGGGATGAGGTCATTATAACCCGTGCCAGAATAGGACACACTCATCTCACCCACTCATACCTCATCACCAAGGAACCCGCTCCACTATGTGACGCTTGCAACGTGGACCTGTCGATCGACCACATTGTCATTAGATGTCCAAAATACACCGTAGCTCGGAAAATATTCAAAAATTCATCTTCTCTCCAACTTGCCCTCAGCGAAGAAAACACAGAAGCTATATACAAATTTTTTTATTATATACAYTTAAACAATAAGTTGTAAACATTTATAATTTTACATTGTTATAACTTTCTGTAGGCTAATAACCTAAGCTGTTGAAGCCTTTTCATTAATTTAAAAAAAAAAACTACCTATTCTATTAAGATACCTTGATTGAATTGCTTCAAGACACTGATTAATAGATACTTTATACTAAAAAACTTACTTCACACAAGTCTGATGAATTTGAAGGGACCCATTTGTTCCGGCGACAATTTTGAAGCCAAACTTTACGTCTGGAAATATCCCTTGGAAAACGAAATAAACGAATGCCTTTCCTACGGGAATTCGAACAGTTTACTGCCGTACATCCTCCCATCTTATATTTTAATTTATGTTGTGGATTTGAATTTTAACTTACATCATAACTCGTAAGAAATAAATTTCACTCTTTTCATGAATAACACAAATATACATATCAAAAGCATTGACGAATGACGAATATTGACAATTCAATTGAATTCATTATTTTGCGTATACTGATAAGTGATAACTGATGAGTTGTGTCGCAAAATGGCGGGTTAGTATACCTACTTCTATAGTGCCCTATCAGTAGTCGATACTACAACATAATATTATCTTAGTTCTTGGTAACGACTACCTAACGACAGATTCCAGACGTCCAGTGATAATATAATATTATCATACACAACCACGTGAATTATCCGTATACACTATACAGTATAAAGTATTTACATATTTTATTATATTTAGTATTTACTACTGTCTTCTAGTATTTACTACTCAGTTACTAATTTTGAATTTTAATTGTATTGTAAAAGAAAAAAAAAAGAAAACTATACAGCATTATTTTCAAAACAAATTAATCAAAGTCACAAGTAAGTTACATAATATTATAAAGATACGGATTAACCAAGTTGATAGTAGCTGTAAATTTTACCATTTTAAAATGTATTTTTTCCCCATCTTTAGATGATGAAAAAATTGAGGATCTGGATACCAATGATTTGAAGAGAGTAGACATTTCTAACTTAAATCATAATATTGAAATCGAACTGACTACCACTACTGAAGATGGTATTTTAATTTATTTTTGATTTTGAAGTAATGTTTATGTTGCCTGTAAAGTGTAATTGCGAATAAATTTAAAATGTAAGACTATATGTAAATTATTAGTTATTATTGTTATGATTTATGTTTTTAGAAATCAATGTGGAATATTGGAATATGTTATGTGTTTTGTGTTTATGTTTATTGAATAGTAGAGTAAGTTGAGTTGTATTATTAATAAATAAAAATTTGAGGGATATTATGAGTGAAATTGCTTTTAAAAATGTAAATAACTTAATAATATTTCTAATATTATGCATGAAAACTAAAAATGTTAGTTATGTGTTCTGCATGAATAAATGTTACTAAGTTCTAATAAGTATTTAATGATTGTTTTGTAGCCTTTGTTTATGATCTTCATATAATCACATTTTAATATATTTAATGTAATTTTATAATATAGATGTTAAGAAATCAGTTAATAATCAAGCAGCAGAAACTGATATTTCTGAAAAATACCGAGACCCTGGTGTGACTAATATATCTGCATATCAATTACTGTTAGCTAAATATAGTCCATATCAGCCTGAAAATTGTGATTTTGTTAAATGCAATAATAGACGTTTTAGAAAAGAGTGGTATGTTTCTAATAAGTGGTTGGAGTATAGTCCAACAAAAAATGCTGCATTTTGTTTTTATTGTAGAGCTTTTCCACATCAAAATGCTGAAGCAGCTTTTATAACAGCCGGATTTAAAGCATGGCATAAAGCTACAGCAACATTTGCATCCCATAATAACAGTGTAACTCATAAAGAAGCTTCTGCAAAAGTTATTGGATTGCGTTCAAGTTTTGATACGGGAAGTATAGCAACAGCTACCAATACCTATCATAAAACAGTTGTCATTAAAAACAGAAGTTATTTAAAATGTATTATCGAAACTCTTTTATTTTGTGCCCGTCAAGGAATAGCGATCCGTGGTCACGATGAATCAAATAGTTCTAAAAACAAGGGTAATTTTCTTGAGCTTCTTTATCTTCGATCTAAAGATAATGTACTATTGCATGAATATTTTGTTGAAAATAAAAATCATTACCGTTATATAAGTGCTACTTATACCAATGCCATTTTTAATATAATGGCACAACAGGTTTTGCTTAATATAATAAATTCTATTAAGGAAGCTGGTATATTTAGTATACTAGTTGATGAAACTCAGGACCTATCCCGACATGAACAAGTTTCTTTTATCATTCGATTGTTGACGACCCAATTTCCTCCATGATGCCTAGGCGTCATTTAACCCTTTTCACTACGACACTGAACACGTCCATATGGTGACATTAGAAGCAACAAATTGGTTAACCAATCTGGACATTCAAATTTAAATTACTGCAAATAAACTACTGATTTAACTAATAAACCATTATATATATATAAACAAAATAACATTGTTAAATTGTAGTTAAATATGCGATTAGCATCGTAAACAATATGCATATTGGTACAAATGGTACACTATAAAATYCTCGAAAAMGAACTTTAAAATTCAAAATTCCAATTATTCAATTATTGATATTGTAAATTATTTAAACTGGAATACTCACAGATTTCGAAATAAATATAAGTACTTATTATATATTACANCGCAACTAACCTATACCTAAAATATTATCGGGCCGGAATTCACCGGTCTCCAACACCGGAAACGAAAGGTCGGGCCGCAACTCACCCTCAGCCTCTTTAATAATATGTATTTATTATTAATGATTATTTCTTATTTATGATATAAATTTGTGTACTGTTACAAACCGTTTTAAAATTTGTAAAAACTTTTTAGCCAAAAGGGTAGTGCCTCAAACGATTGTGAAATAAGTTTTGTGAACAGTGTTCTGCAATTTCAGGAGGTTATCGCTTAATTCCGTTCAGAACGATTTATTCTGAATTAAAATCAGATTTTATACTAACTATAAATTTAACTAAATATAGATACAATGTTAACGCAATGAAAGAATATGTACCTTTTGAAATAGTATTTACAAAATATAGAAACAATATAATAAAGTCACTATCCCAAAAAATAATTTAAATAACAAGCAATTTTCATTTTATATCGATTATTACACGATTGGTTTAGAAAAACTATGTTGTTTACTAATAGTTATTATGTTAATTACCACAAATAGGAAAAATTATTCATTATAAAAAAATTTAAAAAGTTAATGAAAACCAACCGAGTTCGACAGAACAAGATAGATCAAGTCAATTAGAACTTAAAGTAAGAAAAGGAAAATCATTAGGTACCCAAAATAATTTGTTTAAAAAAAATGGATAATGGTCCGTTTAACCCTGGGGGTGTTATGTACCCAACACTACTTTTAACTTAGAATAAAGGTAGT